CAGGGTCCTGGACGTATACTCCCGCCTGCCACAAGGCGAAGCCAGCAACTACGGCATCCTGAAGGCTGCACTGTTGAAGCGATTTAGGCTAACAGAAGAGGGTTTCAAAAACAAGTTTTTCGGAGGGAAGATTGAGCAGAGCGAAACCCCTGCCGAGTTCGCAGCCAGACTAGAGAACTACCTAATAAGGTCGATCACCCTGTCGAACATTGAGGACACCTTCGAGGTCCTCAAATGCCCTATGCTAAAGGAGCAGTTCACGTCAGGGTGCTCAAAGGAACTGGCAACCTTCCTCAGAGAGAAGGCACCAGCGAGTATGGAGGATACTCCCTTGCAAATGGTAAAAGCAGGGGAAGGACACCTGAAGATAGAGAAGGAACAGAAGGATACTCTCTTGCAAATGGGAAAAGCAGGGGAAGGAGCCCTGAAGATAGAGATGAAACAAAAGAATACTTCCTTGGAAATGTGGAAAACAGGGAAAGAAGCCCTGAAGATAGAGAGGGGACAAATGAATACTCCCTTGGAAATAGGGGAAGCAGGAAAAGAAACCCTGAAGAAAGAGAGGAGACAAAAGAATACGCCCTTAGAAATGGGGAAAGCAGGGGAAGGAGCTCTGAAGAAAGAGAGGGGACAAAGGAATACTCTCTTTGAAATGGGAAAAGCATGGGAAGAAGCCCTGAAGATGGAGAGGGGACAAAAGAATACTCCCTTGGAAATGGGGAAAGCAGGGGAAGAAGCCTTAAATATAGAGACAGAGGATGAAGACTGGGAGAAGCAACTGGGGGTGCTGCGCCAAGTCTTCAACCGAGTCGAACGAGCGTCACTGACAATGAGGCCCAGCAAGTGCTTTTTCGGATACCCCACCCTTGATTTCCTAGGCTACGGCGTCGGTTAAGAGGAGCTGAGCACCCAGAGCGACAAAGTAGAAAAAGTCATGATGGTTGAAGTTCCAGCCAACAAGAAGCAACTGAGATCGTTCCTGGGCCTGGCGGGATTCTACCGCGGGTTTTGCCCAAATTACGCGACGGCCGCGGCGCCGCTGACTGACCTCACAAAGAAGGAGTCACCTAACAAGTTACCATGGACTGAGAAGCACGATCGCGCGTTTAGCGAAGTAAAATCCATGCTCAGCGCGTCACCTATATTGAAGTTGCCACGCTTCGACAAGGAGTTCGTGGTACGTACGGATGCGTCGGATGTGGGTGTGGGAGCGGTTTTGCTGCAAGATCACG